GAACTCCGAATAAGCAATCTGATTCTCACGTTTTTGGTCGATTCCTTTCAGCTTGATTCCGACTTGTAGCGCTGAAATGTAATGAATTTACGGTATTCCTGCGGTGAACACAATTTTTCATTGATTGTGAGCTTTGATAGATGATTTCCATATAAAATGAGTTTCAGATTTCAGGCTTGTTTTTGGTCGTAAAATAAAGTTTCCTGCAATGCACCAAGTATCTTGTGAAATTCTAATATCCCTTTCTGGTGGTCCATCTCTATCTCCAGCTAATACTGCCAGGACGCGATTTATCTCACCTTTTCTGAATGTTCTTCATAGCTTGCAGCAGCTCCGTCCTCTTGATTTTCATTCATGGCATCACTTCATTGATTCTCAGTATTTATTATTTATTTGATTCCTTGATACAGTGCGAATTGCAAGTGACTGCTGGAGTAGAATAACGAAATATTGAAAGTACAGGGAACTCTGGATAGTCGGAGTCCCACGCTCCTGAAAACCAGATGTACACACCCTCAAGCTGTAGTTCTTCTTTGAAAGTGCAGATGTCGCTTTGGCTACGTTAAAGTACTAGTCCTTCGCACTCGTCGTCCAAACCGTTACGGGTATGCGGTTTAATCAGCAGCGGGCGGTTCTACTGCCCGCCCTGCCACGAGTTCAGAGAATACCTAGCATTGGAAAGTCAAGGTCACCGAGGTCAAGGTTCAGCCACGAGAATCAAAGCGACCACCGCAATGGTCGGCGCCATCTTCCGCTCCCATCGAGCGAGCAATTCTATCACCCACAAGTCGAACTTCAATGAGATATAATATATCTCCAAGCAGGAAGGGGTTGAGGCGGTATGGTGATGAAACACATACTTTCCAATCTGTAAGGGTAGAGGGAACGGTCATTGTTACTATACAGTGTCAGGAACGTGGTGCCCCCTAGAAGGACGTCGACTTCTAGGTCTACGATCCGTCGAAGTGCCTCTCCCCAGTTGTCAGGGTTGTCGACTTACATTGAGAAATTAATTTGTTTCGCCAATTCCAAGAGCAATTTCCCTTCTATTCCTCCCAAAACTTTATTGTCGCGAGATATCACAAATGGTGGTGCATTCATGGCGATGACCCTTCAATGTTTTTCCTTGTAGCTTCCAATTTGGTGCTCCCACCCAACTGCATCTGTCTTCGCCGGCGTCTTTCCTTGTCAATGCCTTATGGGCAATGTCTTCGAGAAGATTCGTTGGAAGCGTCGAGGTGGACGCTACCACGCACTGCAGCACGCTCGATAAAAGTAACCAACATGGTCCACCTTCCATGTCGGCACGCTGGAACGATGAGACGAATGCCAACGATCACGTCAAGAGGGGTGTGCAGAGTGAATCTATTTTGATGGGTTGTTGATACGCAACCGAAAATCGATGGGGACCACCGAATTAGTCTCCTTGTAGCGTTAATAATGAGTAATGTGCTTGAATGGATTTTACAAACACACAAAAATGAACATTTTTGGGGGCCACCCTAAATCAGGTGACGTTGTTCAACCTCATGAGAAATGAATCTCTCTGCAAGATTCCCCCCGGGTTTTTTCTCTGCTAATAAAGAACCTTCAATTGCCTTCTTCCTGCGATAAAAAATTAAATATGGGGTAAAGGCCCTCATCCATTCGAATCAGTCACACGACATGCATTCAATGCACACCGCATGATAATTATGCTGAATGAGAAATCTCCGTCAGCAGTGCAATCATTCACGGATTCCTGTTTTCCGGAATTAGGTATTCAGGATCAGGGGCAAATCAGTATACTCATTTTTGCGTCGTAAAATTAATAACTTTTTTTGTTACAAAGTTTTACATGCCAATCCCTCAAAATATATCAAATGAAGATAGATCACCCCACTTACACACACAACCCAAACAGCATGTTCATGTGAATTTTACATAAAATGAATGTAAATTTTTTGTCCATTTTATATCATTTTTACGCAAACCATTGTCAAGAAAATGTCAACATGTTTGCAGAAATGTCACCTCTGCGATATGTAAACGGTGATATAAAATAAACGTAAATTTTACGTAAAATTGACATTCCAAACATTTGGCATTCCAAACAGCATGTTTACATTCATTTTATGTAAGATTCATGTGAATTTTCCCCTGGCATTCATGCGTATTTAAAGAGTCAACCAGTACCATTGAAGAGAATGGACATACTGAATCTCCTACTCCTTTACGTTCTTCAGAACTCTAGGATGGTTGGACGAGTTCACGAGTACTCATCCTCACCAGCACTCAAGAGTACCAAAGTGCCCTACTGCTTCCTCCTCCCGTAACGGAACCTCGGGAGAAGGAGTGGATGTTTGAAGGAGCTCTCTTCCTTTTAGGATGGAGAAGATGTAGTGCTTGTGGGGCTGGGATTCTACTCTTCCGTAATCCCGTGCACTGCTGCAATAAAAAGCTTAACTTCTGCATTTAATGATTCCCTGAGTTATATATTATGAAAAAATATACAATAATTTCATGTTTTCCATATATATATATTCATGGATTGCATAATAAAAATTAGAAGGATGTGAGGAAAACCAGTACTTAATAGTAATCGTTGGATGCAGGGAACAAGGGTTCCATCTCGTGAGGAATCTTGGCACTGCAGCTGCAGGATGGTCCGCTAAAGTTTCATATGGATGGTGTGGTGTTAATTTTTCATAAACTTGATATCATGTACTTCACGTCTGATGGAGTGACGTCTAGTTGATGTAAAATACACGTACGCGTACACTTTGGTGACGTAAATATATGAACGTAAATCTTACGTAAATGTGATGTCATTTTCATGGTAATCGCAAGAAATTTACATTGTTTGCAAAAAATTGATATCTTGTGAACATGCTGCTTGGGAAGTTTTTTCTAGGATCGTTAATAAGGTATCGCGGGATTCAGACTGGAGAGCGTGACATCACCTCATAATTCATAAAAGTCCCTCATTGAGCTTTCCAATTTAAAAAAAATCATGTGACCTATATCCCATACACTGTACCATACCATACACCATACGAGTTTGTTTGCCCTTCGGGCAAACATACGCGGCTGGCAGCCATACATGGGCAAACATGCGCGACCATGGTCAGTTTGGCCAGCCATGGTCATTCGGCGCTCCATAACCCTAGATAGTAATTAATTCATTTATTCTTTGCGAAATGGCAAGCACGTGTCATGTTCTCGTTCCCCCCTGATGCTCTTCCTTCAACCCCTTTTCGCCCTCGCCATGGGGCATGTACCAGCCCCTTCACCTTGGCTCGGAGAACTACTTTCTCCGCCCAGATTTGCCCATAAAAGGTGGAGGTCTCCGGATATTCGGGGTATTCGTGGAGCATTCGCTCAGTACCTCTTGACGGTGCCGTCCACGCCCGCGGATTGAACATTTCGCAACGGAGCCTTTCACGCCTGCCGATCCTCCACTTCTCGGCAGAGCGGCTCGAGTCTCCCCTCACTTCCACCTCACTTCCAAACAATAGCTCTCCAATCATTTCCCCAAATCCTGATGACCTCCACTCGGAGGATGATATTGTGATTAAACGAGGCTCAGTTAGAAACCTTGTCTTCCATTTCCCAATACGCAAGTCCTTGTTCACGTGAGGCTTGGCGCCGAGTCCACACAAGCCTTCGCTCATTCACGTCGCCCTACCTCAGCAGCGCAAGGACAGCCAACCACGTGACACACGTATTTAAAGTACGTCCCCATTGAAGTACGTGACATATGGGGACAAAAGTCGTGATTTTTATCAAAATCATTACTTCTATGATTTCAAGAGTATCAAACATGAAATCTTTTCTTTTGTCCCTTTTTGTAAGGGTGGAAAATACATTTTGAAATACTTCCCACCAATAATCTACGCTAATAGAACATATTTCAAAAGTAGGATTTTTCCTTTACTCAGCCATCAAATAGATACTTTTGAGGGAAGTTTAAATTTTCTGTCTCTGTTTCATTGGATCAAAAAAAAAATTCAGGAAAATGGGACTTAAAAAAAAGTGCCCTGATGGGTTTTAACGAAATTTATTTTTCTTTTGAAATGTAGACTCAGGGAACTCCATAAGACCCAGTTTCACCCTTATACGTTTCACCTTTTTGCTAGCGGAAAAAAAAATATATTTGGAAAAGGGAACCAACCAAAAGCTGTGCTCTGAGGAGACGTATAAAAAAAGTTTAATTTTTCCTTAAATCAACATCACGTCAGTGATGCGTGCACCAGCTACTTTTCTATGTCTGCCGGTGAACTACAAACCCATTAAGTTTCAATATTTTACGTTTGCCCATTTCGCTGGTGGAAAAACATGCTTGGAAAAGCCGCCCCACCCAAAAGCCATGCCCGGAAGGGATGCCCCATGAAACCTTTATGCTCTCCTCAGCTCAGTAATATCGTCACTTATACGTGTGCCAAGTTTCACCTTTCCATTTCTGTCCAATTCGCCACAAAAATTTTTTTCTTCAAAACACAGCCCCTGTGAGTCGATTCGTCGTTTGTCTCAATAGTCTTAACATGATTTCAGGGGAAGACATTCCATATAATTTTGAAAGACTTACAAATGACCTGCTACTAATTCACCGTCAAAGTATAGACGAGATTTTAAGCCCTTCCTGCAGCACCACAGCAAACTATCGCGACACCTGCGAAAGATAGCCTCAAACAGAAAAAGAGACGGGATGACTTGCTGGTCTGCTTTCGAGTGAGACACCGGTATTAGAGATTACGTAAGACACACTTGAGAACTGCATGAGCCCAGTCGGAAAAATGGGTTCCTTAAAGAACGTCCTGGAGAGAACATCGTAGGCACTTTATTATAAAGGCTACTACAACTACGCAGCTCCATCCTCAACGAAGCACGAGTCGGCATGCAGAGCAATGACCTCCACGATTGCAGGAATGACCTGAGTGGATGAAACGTACCGACTCCCAGTGACGATTGGGATTGCTGTTGACGATCTGATAAATGTGGGAGTGGAATACCCTGATTTCATGCCGGTGACCAGCATCATCATCAAAAGCTCTTTAATTCTTAATTAAAGAGAGAATTAAAGAGCTTTTCTTCCACGGATACACTGAAGGATGATGCTGGCCACCGGCATAAAATCAGGGTATTCGACTCCCAAATTTGTCAGATCGTCAACAGCAATCCCAATCGTCACTGCGAGTCGGTACGTTTCATCCACTCAGGTCATTCCTGCATTCTTGGAGGTCATTGCTCTGCATGCGGACTCGTGCTTCGTTGAGGATGGAGCTACATAGTTGGAGTAGCATTTAGACCTTTTGAAAGACGTTGGGTCGTCTACATCCTCAGAGCTGTGATTCGGTAGACATTTACAGCTGCCTTTCACCGCAGCGGTTCTGGATGAAGAACACATCCCCAGATATAAAGGTACCGTCTTTAGACGAAAGACATTATGAGTGAGCATCAAGGTTCTCTTCGACTCCGTTTCCTTGGAAACGAAATTTGTGATCTTCCTCTCCTTAACGTGGAAACGCTTTGGCCTCTTCGGGCTTTCTTGCACAGGAGTTGGTACGCCTCACGTTATGCGTGTGGCTCTTTTCCTTGTTTGATATCGATTTTCTGGGTGGATTTCATTAAATCCCACGGTGTATCAGGCTGCAGGTGTTCGCAGTCCTGCGAATTCCCGGAATTATTTCACAATCGTTCCCCTTGACGTGGGACTCGAATTCTATAAATACAGCAGAGGTGGCACCTTGCCCCTCAGTTCACCCTTCGCAACTCATCCTCCTTCGGTCTTCTGGGTCCTCCAAAGGTATCGCGACGATGGTGAGCGGATTCTCATTTCATTTGAGATCCTGTAAAAAAAAAAGCGGAATGCTGCATATTAATGTGAGAGCACAAGCGCATCTGCGGTTTGTTTAGCACGATTTTAGTCTCTTGCTTTTCTTGACGTTTTCTTCGAAATCAGCAAATTCAATTGATGAGTTTCTGTCTAAAGTCACAAAGGGAAAGTTTCAGATTTATGGTGCAATCGCTTGTTTATACACCGTTCTCAAATATTTTTCCCTCCTACAAAGCTCCTGCTCCCTCAAAGTTTGAATTCACGTCTACGGATGATGCAACCTGCAACCCTTTTCTTTCTTCAATAGGCACAAATTCACAGCATCGTGACAGGGATGGCGATCGTCCTGCTTTTCGCCTCTCAATGCCTGGGCCTCACGCCGTACAATTGCCGTTACGTCGTGGAAGACAACGGGGTGCCAGCGGATTGCGCCGCAAATGAGGTTCTCTTCCCTTTCTCTATGGTTTTTTTTTCGTGTTTTGTGTATCCAAATGTATCCGAATCCGAAAGTGTATCCGAATGTATCCAAAATCATATCTGTACACGTACTTCTTCTGACTTCTTTTTTCACATTAATTAAAAAAAAATTAAGTACTGAAATATTTGTAACGTGCCAGATTATTTCTACTTTTAATAGAAGAAGAACAAGGTCGAACACCCTGCTTTTCTCCTCCTGTTGCAGGCCATGTCTTTCGGAACTCCCCTATCAATGTCATTCGCGTAACATATGATTCTACATAGTTCTAAGCTGGGATTGCATGATGGAAGTTGATTGAAGTGTTATGTCATTTTGAAGCTGGCGACGCAAGCCTGTGGAGCTGGAGGCGTCATCGGAAGTTGTAACGGACAGGCGACTTCAGTATATTGCTGTCGGGTCATGGAAGGAACCCTGTCGTCCAGCGATTGTCACACGGTCGGAGCGGATTCGGGAGAAATGGCAGAATGCGGACCCCTACAGTTCATGCAGGGCGCCTGCAGCTCTTACTTCGGTGAATCTTGCGGCGAATTCAGCCACTCAGTGTTCTGCTGCAACTATTATATGAACGGCTTCCGACTGCTCCCAGACAACATCGAAGAGGAGAGATCTTCTGGAGGACACCACGTCTAGTAAGCATTGCACAACACGCTACTCCACGCTCGCACCTTAAGAGAATGCGCGTCCTAGAGACTGCTTCGCTCCTTGAATCTTTTCGGTCGAATGCTGTCTCCCATCCGACTTCAGCAAGCTAAATTCCGCATGAATGCTCTTTAAATTGCCATCACCTCGATCATTTTGCCGAACACGTAAAGGACCAATCAGGAATTTCTTCTGTCTCTTGAATGCCCGTCAGGAATGCCCCATTATTGTCCTGATCATTGCATCAACTTAATGAGTATATCGTCAGAAATGTTCTGGAAGTGGTCCCCTATTCTTTCTAATGTAGCGGGGAGACGAATATTACATTCCGTGATTTATCCTGCAAAGAAAAACACAAAGGTAGCAAACTCAGTAGTTCACCCTAAGGAAATTTGATGGTGAAGCCAATTCCACCACAACCTGTGCTCTACATCTTCCAGTCAATGCGATAAATCCTTTTAATTTTCGATATAATATTTCACTAAAATTGGGAAAATGTATTTGTTCTTTTTTCCAGCTGTCCAACTGAAAAATTTGCCTCGGGAATGTGCGCAACCAGTGGTACCAGTGCCGAATGTACGAGCAACGATTTCGCCACGCTCCAGTGCGCCAATCCCGCCTATTTCAAGAACCCGCATTTCAGACACATCAAGGCAGTAGAAGAGCAATAAGTAATTCTTTTGAATCGATGTCTCTCACCGGCTTTCTTATTCCCAGTCTGATGCGATGGAAATGATTGACTCGCCCGAGAAAATGCGACGTTTCGGAATTAAACGTTCCTTCAGACATTCCAACTTGTTTTTCCCGGATGCGAAAAAAACGAACCGATGTGGCGGACGAACCCGAATAAGTAATTTCCTGATTCTCACGTTTTTGGTTGATTTCTTTCAGTTGTATTGCAGCCACTTGTTGCGCTGAAATGTAATGAGCTTACGGTGTTCCTGCAGTGAACACAATTTTACATTGATTGTGATTTTTTTCCCATTTCACAACGGAGAAATGCTGCTGCTGCAACCCACACTTAAGCACCAGTGATCAACACTTTCAGAGCCTCAGGGTAATGCGGTGGCGAGGCATTTTCTGGAATTAGTCGCTTGCATTGTGCCGCACATGGACTAAATTCCCTCTGTGCCTTCGAACAAGTTCTTGGAAATGGTCCGTAAAGTTTCAGAATCATTGGTGTCGGTACTACATGCTAACGCTAATAGCCCATGAGCTAATCGGTGATGTAAAAGTATTGAATGTTGCAAGGGGAGACGAAATCAGCAAAGTCGTCTTGAGTTTCATGAAAACGTGCTAAACCGTTCACAATGAACGATTGTGGCAATCACCTGGAATATCATGATGATGGTGTTTAGGAACAGAATCTCCCTGTGTACTGCAAGCTATATGTGTACAAATGTAATGAAGCGGTTCATTTCGAAAGGGTAATGAGGTGAACAGAGGATTGTCAAGGAGACGTTATGCTCACAATAGACGGTTCAAATTTCTACCTATTAGACGGCCAGCGTAGCGGCCGCAGGCCGCTAGTTCATTTTATTTTTGAGATTTCCTTTTAGTCATTTGGTTTCAGTAGGCATAATATTTTGGTCTATGGACGAACATATACGGAGAAAAGCATAGGCGAGACGCTGCAAATTCAATGTATTGCTATACTGTATATTAGCTATTAGCCAAATTCATCAAGGTATCTTACTAAAATTCGTCATTTCCTGCTGAAAAGGAAATGAAAAGGAAATACAAAGGAATGAAGGAAAAATGGCTTGTTCTAGCACGATCTTAGAGACACATCGAGATATGCGTTAATGTGTGGCCGCGTCTGAGTGTAGCGGGTGAAATGAGTGGAACGTAACATGCGACGAAATGGCCATGTCTCCCATAATGTTTCGCGTTGATGACTTTTACGTTACATCGTGTCTTCTTGCAATCTCACTGGATCGTGGAAACGACCGCTGGCCGCGGAATTCTTTCGTTCTCTTCAATCCCGACCGAAATCGAGAATCCAAGCGGACAATTCAATTGCCATTTGGATGGATCCCCGAAATCCCGATGGGCCTTGAAAGGAGTGGAGTTTCACACCCGAACCGAGTTTCGGGCAATTGTCCATTGACTCGATGCCCGAGGGAGAGGAACGCCTCCGGCATCAACAGAGCATTTGCTAAGCAATTCGAGATAGCACTCGCTTGAAGCAATATATCATGAACGCATCCATGACTATCACTTTGACAGAACTGCAAGGGGTCCAGGAAAAGACTGGGACTCTGCATTCAGCAAGGCCAACACTTTTAACACATTTTGTGAAATCCACGAATCCATATACCCTACGGTGCGCGACTTAAGACACCCCGTATGCGTTGAAAACAAGCAATTTCTTCGAAAGGAGTGTCTGCATGCAAAGAGATGATATCCATACTCATAACGTCTTCGTCTTTGAAAAAAGTCATGTTTCACGTTTGTCACTGAACCTCCCCGATTTCCAAAGACTTCTCAGAGCTCTCTCCAGATGAACCGAGAGAAAGAGCGGCTTTTCTTCCTTTCCCTTCCTTCGTCCCACGGTTGGCCCCTTGGGGCACTAAGCAGTTGCATAAAGAAAAAGCGAATTCCACACCTATCTTGCGTAGCTTGGTCGCGTGTCGTCTGCACCGATCCAGATCCGCACGTGCGACTTCTCACGTAGTGCAGTGTTAATGGTGTTAGTGTGTGTCGTGCAGTACGTGGGTCACTCCGAATGGTTTTCGACACCTCAAATTGAAGATTGGTTAAAGCCCTTTAATACATTGACTGTTCTTGTTTAAGTAGCTTGTGCAAGTTTTTGTCCTTTTTTTTATTTACATTTAGCAACACTGAAACACTACGAGTGGAAGAAGATTGGTATACCTCGTGAGAAACAATTTTGTCCTTGGAAAATTGGTCTGTTCAGAAAAATCTTGGAAATAATTGAGAATTGGTCTCATAACCATGGACGCAACTTTCATTCGTTGAAGACAGTCGTTCGAGGGTTTTATGAAAGTGAGAAACTAGCTCATACTCAGGGTGGGCCATGAGTCCCATGTCCTTTACAACAATGCACATTTAAGAGGAACGACTGTCCAACAACCTGTTAGATATGATCCACTTCGTGCATGAACTACTTTTCCTCGCTTTAGACTGTCAGGAAAGACGATCATTTAAATATTGGTTTTCTCGACGAATTTCCGCTAAAGTTCTTTCAAATTCAGCAGCAGCCGTTTTAATTTCGGCAGCACAAAGTAATCTCTTGCTTTTTTTTTAACAATTAACATGGGTATGGGGAATAGGGAAGGAAAGGGCAGAAACGCATGAGGTATTTTCGGCAAATAATCATTATTTCATTATGCAAAGGAAAACACATGGACACACTGATTCTACCCATCGATACGTCCTTTGGGATCTGATCAAGTCTGTTTGTGCATGGCGAAACCATGCAAAGCACTTCTGACATTTGGGCACGTTTCGTCGGATTCGAGAGAGGAGAATATGCCGGCAGGAACTTCCCGTGAAAGATGAAAAAGTCATCTGGGACCGAGACTCGTTTGTGGGATCTACCATCGTCCATGAAGACAAAACGGTTGATCTGGAATCATCTGGAACTTACGCGTCTCGGGAGCTTCTCAAAGAATTCCTGAAACGTCGAAGACGTGTAACTCTCCCGTTGCTCCTATGCAGCGAAAGATTGCTCCAAGCAGGGAAAACGAACACGAGCACGTCGTCCGTGGAGGCACTCACAGCAAGGAGCAGCCGATTCCGAACGAGCCTATTCAGTTCCAATTTGTCTTCGTGGAGGTTTGCTAGATCCCAGGAAAGAGTCTCGGTCACAGACGACTTTTTCACCGTTCACGGGAAGTTCCTTCTCGACCGAGTCGATGTCGTCTCAGTTGCACCCTATTGCCGTCATTCCCGCGGCATCAATCGAAGACCGTTGCACGTGAAGGCACTCCTGTTTCAACCGGTGTCAATGAAGCAGGGCGAAACTTAAAAGCGACTTAGAAGAAGCCCATACGATGAATCCCCTTGGAGGAAAGTCTAAATTCTTCCACAGTGAACAACGTAAATTAATGGCAATAATTGCTTCCACGTCCTCACTCAATCCCGATTCATAGATTACAATTCCAGCGTTCGCTAAAATTGCCTGATTGCCTGAATGCTGCAGGAGCTATGAAATCGGCATTTTCCGATCCTTGGACGCTCCAGGTGTTATTTCCTTTGCCAATCGCAAAAAAACGATCCCGAGATATCGCAGCCATGAGGAAAGAACCTCCAAGGTCACCCTTTGCCTTTTATCTTCAAGGGCCCGAGTCCTCGATGAGAAAATGGCAGGTGTTGCGATCTCTCGCATCGTCTTCATTTTTTTCTTTCCCTGCCCAAACCCACTGCCCCCTCGCGATCGTTCAAGGAGTTAAATTTCCAATTTCACCTCTTAGGAATTGTTGGCAGAAAAAAGTTTGCAAATATAAAATCTTTTAGCACTTGATTGTGCGGGACGGTCGATATCAGTTTCACGTTACTGCGGCTCAAGAACAACTCAAGCTACTTGATGGCAGTAGTATTCGCATAATTAATCTTCCAGCGAAGATTATTACTCGGATTCAGCGGAATCCGATTAATTCCAAGAAAGCGTTGGAGCAATTGTTCCTTCTTTACTGCTTTCCCCCCGATTCAGCCAAAAATCTCGAATCGATCGGGAATCGCACGGAACAGCATTTTCATTTCCAGTCTTTTTCTTGCGATCCGGTTTGGAAATTTTTCCTGGCCGTTCAGCATCTTATCTCCCTTCGGTCCCTCGTCAGCTGTGCCGTTTCCCGTCCTTGGGCGGACCGAGTCCGTGGGAAAAACGCTTCCACCTGCGGTTTCGTCCTCCAAGGACACATTTTTTCCAATTTTTTTTTAAAATTTATTTCCGGTGTCCTCGACGATGAAATCTCGAAATTCGAGGAGCGAGAATCTTGTCGATCCCGAAAAAGCACACATCGACCTACAGAAATCCAGGCAATTGCATCGAGAATCGCAATGTATTACAAGGTCAAATTTCAATCGTTCGTCTAGCACGAAAACTACGGAAAAACTGTTTCCAAGTCCATTCCCGCGGACTAAAATCGCACTTTCCGATTCGGCAACTAAAGTAGGCCTTCAGTAACAGAAAGCAGCGCAATGTGATCAAACCATCACGTTCCGTAACATACTGTAATGTAATTAAAGTCTGGAGACGTGGGACCATAGACACGGACAGTTTCCTCATCAGACAAAGTCATGGTCAATAAATCCATGAACAGGTATATCCTAATCGCAAAAGCAGGTGGAAGCGACCCAGAGCGACCCAGCATGACCCAGAGCGACCCATCCATACAGCTTGAACGTGATGATCCCAGAGTGCCCCGAGTTTACTTGAAGAACCCTGAGGGTCCAAGTCGAGCCGACTTGGCTCATGTCGGAGATGCACGTGTGGATTCCGCATCGAGAATAACTCGTGGCCACCCGTGTGACCCTCTGCACCCTCGTGGCCACCCGTGTGACCCTCTGCACCCTCCTGGCCACCTCTGAAGCCCTCTACACCCTCATGACCAATTGTGAAGCCCTCTGCACCCTCGTGCTACGGGTTTTGATCGCAAGAAATAATGAAAACGCCGATTCTTGTTTTTCTTCAGTTGGTGCGAGGGGCGAACTTGCTCGCTCCCCGGAGAGTAAAATAATCGGTAAAATTACGGTAAAAAGGCTTTCGTCAGCATGAATGCGGATTCTATTTCAAAGAAATAGGAAAGGAGCGAGGTATTTTGTCATTGGAATGAAATCAAATAATGTGATTGCAAGGTTTACACCCTCATTTTCATAGTGTGATTTTACTGAAACAAGGTTTGAAGTTTTCCGGCATGTCAGTTATATTATGTGCCAAATTATACTCGACATTTATGCGGCTCCTCTTCGTGACGGTGACCACATACGAACGAGGG